CACTGGCAGCTGTCATCTTTTATTTGAGGAAACTGAGGTTAACAGCACATGGTCCAAAGTCACAGTCTGGAAGCAGTGAGCTGAGGCTGTCATTCAGGTCTTGTCACTACTACAAATGGTTGCTCTAATCTACTTTCACGAATTATGGGCTAGGGATATAGCTCAGTGGCGTACTGCCTGCCTGGCAAGTGCAAGGTCCTGAATTTGATTCCCAGTACCAAAAAAAAAAAAGAAAGAAAAGAAAAGAAAAGAAAAAAGAAAAAAGAATTAGTCTGGGTGTGGTAGTACACCCTTATAATCCCAGCACTCAGGGAAGCTGAGGCAGGAAGACTGCTGAGAGTTCAAGGCCTGCCTAAACTACAAAGTGAGGCTATCTCAAAAAAAGAAAAAAAAAGGACAGACAGGCAGACAGGCTGGGAAGAGCCAGGCATGTTGGCATATGCCTGTAATCCTATTACTGGGAGGCCGAAACAGGAGAATCCTAAATTCAAGGTCATCCTGGGTTACATGAACACCCTATGTCAATCTCTGCTTGTACTCTCCCCAAAAGACTGGTAAGACTTCCCTGAAAATCTCCCTTAGAGAGCTGAATAGGGAAAAGGTATTAGGTAGACAAAAAGGAAGGGGAAATCATGGTAAACAGGATAGGTAGAACATGTGCCTCAGTTCAATAGCAGAAGGAAACAAAATGCCCCCAAAGATTCAAAAAAAGGTCAGGCCTCCCCTGTCTCCCCATCCAGGTCTTGTCTGTCCCTGTAAAGGAGCAGAACATACCAGGTTGTCTAGGATAAAGAGAGAGAAGACGCCCCAGAAGGAGGGTCTGAACAACAGAAGCCCTGCTTTGAGGAATTCTACCCTAATTCTACCCTGCCCTTTCTCAAAGGCAGAAAATTGAACAATGCAGGGTTATTAGTTTAAGCACCTTGAGCTCTGAAGACCAGACTGTCATTTTTTTTTTTTTTTTTTTTTTTTTTTTTTTGTCTTTTTCCTTTTTATTGGTACTGGGGATCGAACTCACGACTGCCTGCTTGCAAGGCAGGCACTTATGCCGCTGAGCTAAATCCCTAGCCCCCCCCCCCCCCGTCATTTTAATGCTGGTTCTCTCAAGAGCTGGGGAGCCAGGTGCACTCAGATCTCTCAGGAGCACATTCTCTCACCCAGGGGACCTTGTCAGAACGGTAGGCAAGGCTTTGCCTGTGTATGTCTGGCCTTTCTGAGCTCAGCATCAACACAGGCTGGAGCTGGGAATGGAAATTTAGGCTGAGGCGTCCTGTGAGCTTGCCCCAGACAGAGTCTACATGGACGCAGCTGACAGTACCTTCTTTGGTCTGTTGACCAATGTTCCCCACCATCACCAAAACAAAGTAAGGCAAACCCGCCAACAGAGCTCTGATAAACATCTAAGCCCTGAAGGATGTGGTAAGGCTGTACTTTCTCCTCTCCAGCCCCAAAAGACAGATGACCAGTTCTTTTTATTTTGTTGTTTGAGACAGTCTCACTATGTAGTTCAGGTTGGTCTTCAACTATGTAGCCCTGGCTGGCCTTGAAGTTGTGGCAATCTGCCTGCCTCAGCTTCACAAATGCCAGGGTTACAGCCACCATGATCAGCAGATGACCAGCTTTATGAGATGGGTTGAACAATGGCTCTTTAAGATTTAGCAAGGCCCAGGCTGGGGATTTAGCTCAGCAGCGTAAGCGCCTGCCTTGCAAGCGTGTGGTTGTGAGTTCAATCCCCGGTACCACTAAAAAAATAAAAAATGATTTAGCAAGGCCCTTAGAACAATGGGGTGGGCTGGAAGTGTAGCTTACTGGTAAACTGCTTGTTTGAGGCCTTGGGTTTGACCCCAACACTGCAACAATAGCAACACACACGAAGACCTAATAGGGACAGAAACAGTGCAGCAGAGGAAGAGTTAAGAGGCAGGGCCTTCCAGAACCTCAGAAAAGTGCCCCACCCGAGGGAGGGGCCAGTAGGTTAAAAAGGCAAACAGCTTGGGCGCAGACAAGGCCTCTACACTCAGGGGTCTCTCACTGCAGTTCCGGCTCCAGGTAAGCATTCCTCTCTGGGTCAGTCTGTCTGCTTGTTGATCTCACTGGAGGAAACCTGTTTCTTTATAGTGTCTCTGGCTTGCTTTAACTATAGCCCTGGGTCCCTAACAGATCTCAACAGACGCTAGCTCTGCAGCAGCATTTTTTGGGCCACTTCTCTTCCCTAAAATACTTGAGCTAAGCCTGACCACGGAATCCAAGAGATGCTGGCTGGGAGGGAACCAGGGTGGGGGTAAGGGGCATTGTGCTTCTAGTCCTGCCCTGGCCTGCCTTGAGCCCAACCCCTGGCTATCCTGGCCAGTCCGATTCCTGACCTCCTAGGGCTCTGGCTGGGATATCATCATATACTGTAAGTTTGTGATGAGACACTACAGTATAGATGATGTACTAGTCCGGGTACCCCCAGCTCTGGAGTCTGATGAGGCTGAGTGGGCTGCTGCGAACCCTGATGCTCACCGCTCAGTCTGTCACAGGGCACTTGGGGATGGCGAGGAAACCGTTACCATTACTGAGTTTAGTAATGGTGACGGTTCTCTTGCTGCTCCCCGAAACTGTGCCAGGAAGAGAACTCTGGACTCTGGAGCAGATTCCTGGGAGGGAGACTCCAGGTCTACGAGGGGGTGGGGGTGAGGAAACAGATGTGTTTTCCCTGTTCTAAAGAAATAAAGATGAGAACCAGAACAGCTGTCTTTTTTTTTTTTTTTTTTTAACAGCTGTCTTTTAACTTTATTGACATCTAAGACTGGGCACAGAAGGTGGGAGGGGTCAAGGAATGGAGGTGGGTGGTACCTCAGCACTCTGGGAGGTCAGGAGGTCCTTACAGGGCTTTGAGGTAAAGGAAGTAGCGAGGAAAAAGAAATAGTTCCCTGCTAACAACTGGCAAATTAAGGCAAAATTCTGGGCCCATTGCCAGCTGAGGGCAGAGATCACCTTCTGATATCTACATAGCTGTGGCCCCAGACTGAGAACCACCTGGGAACTGAGCTAAAGTAGGTTCTTCCTCCAACAAGAGGTGTGGCTGGGCAGGGGCCATGCAGACTCAGCAAGGCCAGGCCGGCCAGCAGCTAGTTAAGTGTCCACTCCCTTTACCAGGCCCTGAAGTCCCACTAGGCAGGGGACATTCTGATGATTCCTGCCAGGAGTTTGAGCTTGGATGGCCTGGGAGGGTAGTAGAGGTTAGTCACTTGAGGAGCTTCACAGCAAGGCGGATGTGAACGTCACAGAGAAAGATGTCCATGAGATCGCGACCCACCTCCTGTGCAATCTGGGCGATCAACTGGCCCTTCTGACCAATCAGGATCCTCTGAGAGTAGGAAAGAGAGGAATATGAGCCTACTGTCAGGGAGTGAAGGCTATCTAACAGCCATTGTCCCTCTTCCACGCCTACTCTCACTTACCACATGAGATTCTTTGGGTACCAGAAGGTTCTGTTGGATTAGCAGCTCCCCACTTGGTCCTTCTTCCCACACGACTGTCTTCTGCATGGGGAGACATCATGACTAGTCAGGCAGGCTTTTTTCTCTACCTCCTGGTACCCAACTATACTGTTCAAGGTATGTGCCCAGATCCCTTCACTCTCCTCATACCTGCTGCACATTATAGGGCACCTCCTGAGGCAGGTGCTCCAAGAGCTTCTCTCGGATTTTGTTGGTGCAGATCTCTTCAGGGGTCTGATTAGTGAGGACTCCACTGTGGAACTCCCACGGTCCTGGCTGGGCCTGTGCCAGGAGGTAATGCTGCGGGTACAAATGGAGAAGTGGATACCTCAATCCCAACCAGGACTTTCCTACTCATTCTTGCCTCCAGGAGAAGTCTGAGGCCTATCTTAACATGATAGAAACCAAGGGCCAGGCTATGGCCAAGGCTAACTGACCTTTAGTGTCTTTACATCCTCCTGGCTTAGGGATGACAACATGAAGATCTCCTGGAAGTGGGGCCAGCCAATCCTTTGAGGGTTTCTTACAGACTGTGTGTTTGGGTCCTTAGCTGCTGGGCTGGAGCAATGGTTGTCAGAGTGTGAGCGGAAGGCCTGTCTCATATTAAGCTTTTTGCCATTGACCACACCTTCAGTAAGGGCTGCTGTGAGCTCCAGAAGAACTGCCTTCTGCTTCAGACAATCCACCTAGGCATGAGGAACAGGCAAAGTGTGTGTGGTCAGTGAGATGGGGACCTTGGAGGGAAGCAAACTCCTCTCCCAGGTGAGCAGTGCTTACCTTGTTCAAAACAAGAATACTAGGGACCTGGGAGAACTGGGTTAAGCACTGGAGCACCTGTGGGCTGAGTTGGTTCCGAGTCCACTTGTCTGAGACATCCACAAGAACTACAACTGAAAGATGGTAGGGTAGGCGGAAAAAAAAAAAAAGGATTTGACTATTCTTCTTCCTGCCCCATAAAAACTTACCAGGAATGAAAGGCCATGACCCCTGTAAATTGGACGATTCTCATTCTGAGCCTAACCAAGATTAGCAGATTCCATGCTCTTCCAAGGGTCCTCCAACAAAGAAAGCTCCAGATGGTGCCTGGGAGACACACATACCAGTTACTAAGGGTCTTATGAATGATACATTCTTTTTTTTTTTGCCTTTTCGAGTCAGGGTCTCACTTTGTAGTCAGGATGGCTTCAAACTCATGGTTATCCTGCTGCCTTAGCCTCCTAAATGCTGAGATTACAGGTGTGTATTACACCTGACTATGAATGATAGTCTTTTTTTTTCCCCCTCACCTTGAGACAGGGTCTCACTATGCAGCCTCAAACTCACAGTGATCCTCCTGCCTCAACCTCCTGAGTGCTGGGATTATAGGTGTGTACCACCACACTTAGTTTTACTCATACATTTTTGATGAGGGGTAGGGTGTGGTAAATGGTTTCACAGCCTCATGATAGACTCTCCCCACTTATTCAATACTTTTCCACTCCCCCCCACCTTCACATCCATTACCGTTTCTGTTTAGCAGAACTGATGATGCCAGGTGTGTCAAGGAGAATCTAGAATCGGAAAAGGAAAAACCCATATTGAAAAAGAAAAAAAAAAAGTTACGCCTGATCTTTTTTGGCTATCCTGGGAAATCAAATCCAGTGGCACTCTACCACTAAGCTACTGAGCTACATCCTGAGTCTTTTTTCTTCTTTTTTTGACACAGGGTCTAAGTCACTAAACTACCCAGCCTAGACTTGAACTTGTGATCTTCCTGCCTCAGCTCCCAGAGTGTTGGAAATATAGGCATGAACCACCATGTCTGGCCTCCAGACTTACTCATCTATCTTTCTATTCCTCTCCCCACCCCACTCCCCCAACTTATGGACACACGTAAGTTACTAAATTGCCCAGGTAGGACTCTATTTTCTTTTTTTTTAAATGGGTCTTGCTATCCAGTTCAGTCTGGACTTGAACTCACTGACAGACTCCTCCTACATCAACCTGATGGGTCAAGTACAGGCATGTGCCACCTAGAATCAAAACAATGCTGAAGGGTAAACTTTTCTTCCTTCAGAAATTTTTTACTCACGACCATGCACTTGCAAGGCAGGTGTTTATGCCGCTGAGCTAAATCCCCAGCCCCCTTCCTTCAGAAAATTTAATCTAGTTGGGAGTTTAGCTCAGTGATGTGAGTGCCTGCTTGGCAAATGCGAGGTTGTGAGTTCCATCCCTGGTACCAAAAAAAACAAAAAGAAAAGAAAAGAAATTTAATCTGCATCACTCCTGATAGTAAAGGAGACTTGCTTAATTTTGCTCTCATCCCGTTTGCACAATTTCCTTTGTAGGTACCTACCAGCTGGGTCTCCTTCTCTGTAATGACGCCCAGAGCTTGGCAGCGAGTGGTGTGTACTTTCTTGGAGACAGGGAACACCTGCCAGGTATAAAGTCCTAGTGAGATCCTAGATCCTTCCAGGACCATCCACAAAGGCAAAGCAAGAAATGAGAGATTAAAAGGGTATGGGGAGGGGTATCAAAGTGCAACATACTTGCCGGCCCAGCAGCTGGTTGGAGAGGGTTGATTTCCCTGCATTTGGGGCTCCTAGGAAGACCACTCGTAGAACCCGGGGATTTTCAGGCATGTCAGGCGGACAGTCCAAGAGGAGGTCTTGCTCATCTGTGGTTGGGTAGAGAGAGGAATAAAACAGTTGAAGGGCTGGGGGTTTAGCTCAGTGGCAAAGTGCCTGCCTGGCAAGCACAAGGTCCTGAGTTCATCTCAGGTACCAAAAAAAAAAAAAAAAAAGAAGAAGAAGAAAAAAAAAAGACACAATGGAAACTGGACTCCCTGTTAGATGATAAATCCTCCCACCCACTAAAGAAATAAAGATACAAAGTTAATGTGCTAGGCTTAAGTTACCTAAACCTGACTTTGAGACTTTAGCTTTTTAATTTATGTGATTTATCTTATTTTCTAGCCTTTCAAGCCCTTTTAGGGGCTGGGGATTTAGCTCAGTGGCATAAGCGCCTGCGTTGCAAGCAGGCAGTCGTGAGTTCGATTCCTGGCACCGATAAAAACGAAAAAGACAAAAAAAAAAAAAAAAATGGATGCATGCTTTGTAATCCCAGCACTCAGGAGACTGAGGCAGGAGGATCATTACAAGCTGGAGGCCAGCCAAGGCTATATAGTGAGTTCAAGGCCCACCTGAAGTACATAGCAAGACCCTGTCTAAATAAGTAGAAAACGAGTTGACCTACTTACAGTTTTGAATTTTTCTTTTTTCTTTTTTCTTTTTTTGTCTTTTCGTTTTTATCGGTACCAGGGATCGAACTCACGACTGCCTGCTTGGAAGGCAGGCGCTTATGCCGCTGAGCTAAATTCCCAGCGCCCTACTTACAATTTTGACAACAGACAATTGAGTAAAACTACCCAGGATAATAATTAGCAATTAATACTCAATTACTACACAGAATTAGACTGTACTTGTGCCTGGGAAATGTATGCTTATCTGTTAAAGCACAGGTAGACTAGTTAGGTGCACTAGTGTGGCACTCCTACTACTCAGGAGACTAAGACAGGAGGATCATTTGAGCACAGGAGTTCAAGACTAGCTTGTGTACTGTACAGACCTTAACAAAAAACAAACATTAAAAAAAAAAAAAAAAAAACCACAGGGGCCAGGGATTAAGCTCAGTGGCATAAAGGCCTGCTTGGCAAGCACAAGGTCGTGAGTTCGACCCTTGGTACCACTAAAAACAAAACAAAACAACAAAACACAACAGGATAGCAAGACTAAATAAGGCCAGTTCTTCCAACTCTACTAAAAGTATTGTGAAGCCTGCAATCTTTCTCAGTATTTTCTTATGACACCATATTGCAGTTAAATTTAATGCATTCAGCCTATCAGACCCTAATCTATGGTATTTCCCAGGTGTAGTTCAGGCTTGGCAAGCAGGTTCAATATTCATTTATTAGATAAAATTTGCTCGTCAGGTGGGCACAGAGAGCTGCAACTATGTTTTGCTTCATATTCTTTTGTGGCTGTTTGTGATGAGATGGTTACCTCTCCTCAAATACCTTCACTTCCAGTTATTTTCTTCTCTCTCTCTCTCTCTTTTCTTTCTTTCTTGTCTTTTGTCTTTTTTGAGACGGGGTCTCGCTATGCAGTCCAGGCTGGCCTTGAGCTCACTTTGTAGCCCAGGCTGGTCTCGAACTCGCAACGATCCTCCCACCTCAGCCTCCCTAGTGCTGGGATTACAGGTGTGAGCCAGCGCGCCCGGCTCTTGTGTTGTTATTTTCTTTTTCTTTCTTTCTTTCTTTCTTTTTTTTTTTTTTTTTTTATTTTTTTGTCTTTTTGTGTTGTTATTTTCGAGTTAAGAGTCTCGCCAAGTAGCTCAGGTTGGCGGCGACCTTGCAGCGACCCTCCTGCCTCAGTCTCCTGAGTGTGGGGATTAGAGACCTGCACCATCACACCCGCTCTCATATTCCTTTTCTATATATAAAACAGCCAAAAATAGCATCACCAGAGGCTGAATTTCCCCGACAGGCGTCTTTCAGTGCCAAAAAACATGAATCCCAGGAAAACCTACTGGAGCCCTTTACCTCTGTTCATGGACACTGCAGGGACTACAGAAGTCGGCGAACTGTCGACCTGAGAGAATCCGAGGAAGCGGTCCAAGGCTGAGCCCTGGCCATAACTGCGAGAGGCCAAAGCCAGGCGGGGACCAGAGAAAGCGCTGCCCACCAAACAGGACAAAAACCTCTTTTGACAGCCTACAAGTAAACGGAGAGGGGCCTCCTGTTCTCTCGCAGCGTAGGGGCCCAGCTGCCAGGCCCCTAACAGAAAACGAACAAGCCCACATCCGTAGCGCCTAGGAGCAGCCATTACAGCTGCAAGGCACCCTGGGAGTTAGTACATCTAGGCTTGGACAGAGTGGCAGACAAACCAGAGAGTAGAGAGCTAGATCAGCCCAATCAGAATAGAGATACCCGGGATGTTGGAAGTGGAGCGGGCGAAAGCTCAAGAGACTGATGGAGGCTGAGGAAAGGGAAACTACGTGTAGTATTTAGAATCATGACCATTTGGGACTCCCACACACAACGTATTTTCTTCTTCAAAGTTTTGTGGAAAAGTCCTTCTAGCCCTGGCTCCTGAAGGACTATATTTCCCAGGAGGCCAAGCGACATAATGCTTCCGCCCAGCGCGGGGCGTTACCCGACAAGAGAACGCCTTGATTCGAGAGAAAGAATGGGCGCGGGCTTACCTCCTCTCATAAAGGTGTTTGTGTGTTTGTGTTTTCTATTCTCAGGTGTGCAAAATTGTTTCTCACTCCAACTCTGGCTACATCTAGGGGTCGGCAGCGGCCTCCTGTAGCCTGTATTTTTTGCTGTCCTCCCATTGCTCAGGGAGGAATGGTCTCGGTCGGCATTCCAGTAACCACTGGACCCAGCTTTCTCTCCTGTAACTATCAACAGTTTTCTCTCTGAGGCCATTCGTTTCTGGAGAAAAAGCTGAGGGATTGCAAAGGGAGAGGCTGCTTAGCAATGTAGAATCTCCCAGACTACTCTGATTTTCCTTGGTTTTTGCACCTTTGAGGTCTCTAAATCCTTTGAAACTTGTCAGACAGTTGAAACTGAAGAGATAAGTCTTGTGGGGTTTGGGATTTGGATAGTGAGGCTTTTTGGTTTTTTGATTTGTTTTGTTTGAGACATGGGCTCTCTTTGTGTAGTTCAGGCTGGCCTTGAGTTCTCTGTTGTATGGAGTCCAGGCTGGTCTTGCACTCACAGTAATTCTCCTGCCTCAGCCTAATTTATTAAACAGCTATATGCAAGTGCTATCTAGGTTGTAAGGATGCATCAGTAAACAAACCAGACAAAATGGTCCAGCGTGAGACTTGCATCCAGTCTGGCCTTCAACTTGCTGTGCATTCTGAATTGTCTGTGTGACACATTAATGACCTGAAAAAAGTTTCACTGCAGTGATTTGTATGAAGACCTAAATGGAATGGCTATCGCTGTAGTCTTAGATACTCGGGAAGCTAAAGTAGGAGGTTCACAAATTTGAAACAAGTCTGGAAGATTTAAAGAAGGGCTGGGGATGTAACTCAGTGATAGAGTTCTTGCCTAGCATCCTAGTAGTCCCTGAATTTAATACCTAGCCCTGTTTAAAAAAAAAAAAAAAAGTAGGGAGAAAAAAAGCAAGGAGAGGTTCATAGGATTAAGAGAGATTTCTGAGCCAGGCATGGTGGCTCACCCCTGTAATCCCAGTACTCAGGAGGCTGAGGCAGGAGGATCGTTGCGAGTTCGAGACCAGCCTGGGCTACGAAGTGAGCTCAAGGTCAGCCTGAACTGAATATCGAGACCCTGTCTCAAAAAGACAAAAAAAAGAGAGATTTCTGTTCTCAAAGACAGAACAAAGAAATAAATAAGGACCATTTCTGCCAGGTGTGGTAGTGCATGTCTGTAATGCCAGCACTGGCAGGAGGATTGATGCAAGTTCAAGGCCAGCCTGGACTACACAGTGAATTCAAGGCTAACCTGAACTACATAGTGAGACCCTGTCTCAAAAAAAAAAAAAAAAAAAAAGCACTCAAGGCTGAGACAGGAGTATTGTGGAGAGTTTGAGGCCAGCCTGCATTATGTAAGGAGAACTTGTCTCAAAACAACAACATTTCATCTCAGCACTTGGGAGGCTGAAGCAAGAGAATTTTAAGATTAAGGCCATCCTAGACTACATAGCAAGCTGAAAGCCAGCTTGGACTAAATAGCCACTGTCTGGACTTCCTATGCCACAAAAAAGATGGAACATATTGTTTACTCATGGCAATGACTCAGTAAACAAAGGAAAAAACTGATGATGTAGGACAAAGAGGGGAGAATTTGGAGGTGGAAAAAACAAATTGGCCAGGCTGCTTTATAGGAATGAAGGATTAGTCTCCAGAGAAACTAAATGACACAAAATCAGGAGCCTAGAAAACCCAATGTACTAATTGTTTGCAAATGGTTCCAGACTCCAGCTTTCAGGACGCCTGCTCTGTTAGTGGAAGGAACAGCCTTTTTGGAATGTGACATTCTGGATGTTCTTTGGACATATGGGTGTCCAGAGAACATGATGCTACTAAATATGGGGGACAGCCAGCAGTCAGGAAAATATGGATCAGAAAAAAATATATGGATCTTCTGTGATGGACAGTTAAGCAAAATGTCATTACAGTTGCAATTAGGATGAAAGGAGATTTTCAGGTTAAATGGTAAGTAGATGAAGAGCTTAATAACATAAATGTAAAAATCATAAAAGAAATACCATAATCCTAGCACTCTGGGAGACTTAAGGTGGGAGGAATGCAGGCTCAAGCCCAGCCTGGGCAATTTAGCAACGTAATGAGATCCTGTCACAAAATTAAAACAAATAAACAAACAAACAAACTTAGGAATGTAGCTCAGTGAGAAGATCCTGGGTTCAACTGCCAGTACCACAAAATAAATAATAAAATTAAAAAGTGGTGCAGCTGACCTGGAATCCACCTGTTTCCTGCTCAGAGCTGGTGGAGCTCATTTGAGACCTTGAGTTCACCTTCCCTGAATCTCTGTGTGGCAGTGGAGACAAAGAAACATTGAATTATTCCTCTCGGTGATCCTGGATTTTTACTTCTGAGATAATTACTTAAAGGGAATGGGCGATGATTAGGCACAAAAATGTTCATTCTTGTATTATTTATAATAGGAAGCCAGTGCAGGCCCACAAATAAAATAGCATGAAGCAAGAAAAATAGAAGTGCAAATGTGGCTCAGTGGTAAAGTATTTGTCTGGCATATGCAAGGCCCTGGGTTCAATCTGCCATACAGACAGGTATGTAAATAAATAAATAAATGCAAAATCCTGGGTTACAAAGTGAGCTCAAGGCTAGCCTTAACTGCATAGGGAAACCGTGTCTCAAAAAGACAAAAAATAACATCTGGGTATGGTGGCATATGCCTGTAATTCTAGCACTCTTGGGAGGCTGAGGCAGGAGGATTGTTGTAAATTTGAGACCAGGCTGGGCTACAAAGTGAGTTCAAGATCAGCCTAAACTGCATAGTGAGATCCTGTCTCAAAATAAATACATGCATACATACAAAAAAACTCCACAATCTTTCCTGACCCCAAGTCCTTTTCTTTTCTTTTTTTGTCTTTTTCGTTTTTACCGATACCGGGGATTGAACTCACGATTGCAAGGCAGGCGCTTATGCCACTGAGCTAAATCCCCAGCCCAAGCCCTTTTCTAACTAGATATCAATTATTTTTCTCACTAACAGTGCAATGAAGATGGTGAAGCAAAGCAGAGGAGTTCCAGAGATTTAAGGGCAATCAGAAGGAGATTGGGGTTGTTTTCTGCAATACAGATTTTTTTTTTGCAGTACAGAAATTTATTTTTTTTTTCCTTTTTTTCTTTTTTATCGGTACCGGGGATTGAATTCACGACTGCCTGCTTGCAAGTCAGGTGCTTATGCCGCTGAGCTAAATCCCCAACCCCTCAGTACAGAAATTTAAATCTAGGACATTCACATTGAGCTATATCCTCAAGCCTTTTTAAATTTGTAAATCTTGAGACAGAGCCTTGCTAGTTACTAAATTGTCCAGGCTGTGGTTGAATTTTCAGTCTTCCTGCCTCAGTCTTTCAGAGTACTAGGGTTACAGACGTACCACCATGCCCAGTTGAACACACAGATTGTAAAACCAGAAATCCTAGCCAGGTATGGTGGTACATGTCTGTAATCCCAGCACTAAGGAAGCTGAGGCAGGAGAATTGCTGTGAGTTAGAGGCCAGCTTGGGCTACAAAGTGAATTTAAGGTAAGCCTGAACTGTGTAGCAAACCCTGTCTCAGGGGCTGGGGATTTAGCTCAGCGGCATAAGCACCTGCCTTGCAAGTGCACAGTCATGAGTTTGATCCCCGGTACCAATTAAAAAAAAAAAAAAACCTATGTCAAAAAGACAAAAATAAATAAGTACCCTAGAAATCCTGGAATTGATTCTTGGCTCCATTATTTATTTATTTATTTAGGTGGTACTGGGGATTGAACTCACGACTTCACACTTGCCAGGTGGGCACTTAAGCCACGGAATTAAATCCCCAGCCTTTCCATTATTTATTGTATGATCCTGGAAGGTAACTTCTTTCAACTTCAGTTTACCCATATATAAAATAAGGATAATGGTAGTAGTAGTACCCTCATAGGATTATTATGATAATTAAAAGAATTGAGCGCGGGGATTTACCTCAGCAGCTCAAGCACCTGCCTGGTAAATGTGAGGTCGTGAGTTCCATCCCTGGCATCGAAAAAAAAAAAAAAGATATTTATTAAATTCTACATCACTGTCTGTTGTTATTTATGAGACTATAAATTCTATGAGGACAGGATCTGTTATTTACTATCATTTACTTAGGCACTTGGGATTAAACAAGGACCTTCCCACTGAGCTACATCCCAATGCTTTATAATGTGGAGACAGGGTCTCTTTAAGAACTTGGAACTTGAGTTATCCAGGCTGGGTTTGAACTTCCCATCTTCCTCCTGGGGTGCTGGGATTACATGTACATACCACTGCCACAGGTTTGCCTTTTTTTTTTTTTTTTTTTTTTTTTGTCTTTTTCCTTTTTATCGGTACCGGGGATGGAACTCACGACTGTCTGCTTGCAAGGCAGGCGCTTATGCCACTGAGCTAAATCCCCAGCCCCCACATGTTTACTTTTGTTTTTTGTTTTTCTTTATACGGTACTAGGGATGGACCCCAGTGTCTCACACATGCTACCAAGAACTTTACCACTGAGCCACACCCACAGCCTTCAGGGTCTGTCTATATTGTTCACTGCTATGTCTGGGTCTGAGTTGTATTGACGTGTGCCTCTAGAGTACTATCTGACATCATGTAGGTACA